GAGGGCGGGGGGCCCCGTGGGGGGGCCCAGCCACTCGGGATGCCGAAACCGCAGCTCTCCGCTGCAAATTTCCTTCTGTATTTTTTTTTTTTCCCTCCTTGCTTTAACCGAATGAGTTCATTCTTGAGAGCAAACTGATGCGTGGTCCCATCCCTGCAGGGCACAGCGTCGACCCGGGCTCGGCGGGGCTGCTGGGGCGCCGGGGGCCCCGCTCCAAGCAGCCCTTCATGGTGACATTTTTCCGGGCGAGCCCCAGCCCCGCGCGCGTTACGCGGGCAGCCAAGCCCCCGAGGAGGCGGCAGCCCAAGAAGACGAACGACCTCCCACATCCAAACAAGCTGCCGGGAATTTTTGGTAAGAACCTTTGGGGCAAGAAGCAGTCCCTATCAAAAAAAAACGGGCTCTGCTGTTGCCATGATCAAGGGACCTTCTGTTAGTACCCTGTCCTGCAAGGAATCCCAATTTTGGCCCAGAAATGCAGCCCAGGGGAGCAGAGCGAAGAGCTCGGGGGTTTTAGGATTGGGGTTGTTTGCAGTTCAAGAGGTGCAGTGGGTCTGGGGCGCGGGCGCCCTCGAGGGGATGGTGTTTCGTGGTGTTTTCGGAATACCTGAATATTGGACTTTTTGCATCATTGCCCTCGGTTTTGAAGCCACCCTGGGAGGGGATCACCCCAGGAGGGTGTCACGGCCCTGGGAAGCCACTCAGACAGGAGGGGAGCGGGAAGCCCCAGCTCTTCCGAGCTCATTTAGCTTGGGAAACCCTCAAAACCAACTCCGCCATGAGCAGAGCTGGGATTTAGCCCTTCCCAGGCTGAATCCCCTCATCCCGATGTTGGAGCAATAAACGTCAGGCCAGTTTGAAGCTTTTTTTCCCTTTGTGCAACCACGGAGGCTCCTCTTCTTTTGTTCTTCCGGACTAACCCCGATCGTGTGGGCTGTTCAATCCCACCCTTGAGCGGGGATGGCTGCAGCCGGGGTGGGGTGGTCGGGATGCTGGCACCGTGGGGCTGATGCTGCCTGTCCCCTTCTCCCGCAGACGATGTCCACGCCACGGACGGGCGGCAGGTCTGCCGGCGCCACGAGCTCTACGTCAGCTTCCAGGACCTTGGCTGGCTGGTACTTGTCTACCGGGAGAAGTAAATGCAAAAAACCCCCCCATCGTCCTCCCCGGGGCTCCCTCCCAGCCTGGCTTCTCCTGCCCATAAAGTGATCTGAGCGGCGCAGGGCAGCCCCATCCCGGGAGCTGGGAAGGCAAACATGAACTGCCACAACCCCAAACCCCACTGGTGATCCTGAACAGCTCATGGCTCAATCCAAAAAATCAAAGTAAACCCTTGCTGCTGGCACGGCCGCCCCGGGGAGGAGCCGGCTGGGTTGTTTTTGCAGGTGGGGAATGGATGAAGGGGCGCAGAAAGCGTGAAGCTCATGGCATAACCGGTGTAAACCTTTTTTTTTTTTTGCAGGACTGGGTGATCGCCCCGCAGGGGTACTCAGCCTACTACTGTGAGGGGGAGTGCGCCTTCCCCCTGGACTCCTGCATGAACGCCACCAACCACGCCATCCTGCAGTCCCTGGTCAGTGCAACCCGCAATGGCAGCGCCGGGGGGGGGGAATGCTGGGGGCCCTGGGGGAGCAGCCGGAGCCCGGCGGGTCCCGATGGAGAGCTGGATTTGGGGCTGGGCGCCCCTGGGTTTGAGAGTGTTTAAGGTCAGAGGGTGCAGTTTAGCTCCAGTTCCCAATAAAGCATCGGTGGGTGCATGCACATCTGGATGGGTGCTCCCCTGTCAGCTGGTGGGCAAGGGCATCGTGTCGCCCGTGCATCCTCCTCGCCAGCCACGCGCGAGGGTTTCGTCTGAGGTCCCATGAAGCACCGCTGTGGCTCAGCGCCCAAACATTGGGCTCAGCATATTCTAAGCAGGAAGGCTTTAATGCCCCGTTTTTCCCAAACCCACCCCGCATCCCAGCCGGTGCTTTAATTTCTGGAATTTCCTGCCCTGTGAGTGTTTGATTTCCCAATGGCAGAGTCACACCGGCTCTGGTGTTCGCGGTTAATTACAGGGAGCACCGAGTCCTCGGCCAAGCCTTTGAAGGTGTTGCCTGGCGGGGTTTAATTTTTGCATTGACAAAGCTGCCAGAGGCCCTGTCCAGGGCTGGGCACGATCCTGGCAGCGACGGGGAGAGGTCCCCTTCCCCCCCACACTCACCCATCACCCCTAAACCCAACACTCTTCCCAAAACGGAGCCGTTTGGGCAGGTCGTGAATCACCTGGTGCCCGGATCCGGCCCTTCTGGGAAGCACCGGGGCAAACGCGGCCGGGGAGCCATGCCAGCCCCGGCCGGTGCCGCAAATAGCAGGGTTTGACAGCAAAAACACCGGACTTCCGAACTAGGAGAGCTCGGCTGCCCCTGCAATAAATTAATCGCACATGTCGGGTAAAGCCGGCAAGGGCTGCGTGCGTCCGGCAGCCTGTGAACATCCCAGCTTACGCTGTACGGCAAATTACTGGGATAACCTGTGTCCTGAGCAGGGTATGAAGGAGCCGAAGGAGAGTTGTGTTCAGAAAGGCGTTGTGTACTTAAGATTTTAGTGCAATATGTTAAATTTGGGGCAGCTCTGAGCCCTGAAGGAGAATCTCTATTGCAACAGCATCCAGCACCCCCCACCCACACAGGAGTGAGACTCGTGCTGCCCTGATTTATTTTTTTTTTTTAGCCATTTGCCTATTTACAGTGAGAAAAGGACTCAGAAATCCCAAATTAATGAAGGGGCTGCCTCGCCCGCGCAGTGCCATGAGCCCCGATCCAATATAAACTGCAGCAAGGACTGCCCAGAGTTTAGAATAAATATTTTTGCAAAAAGCTGGAAATAATCTCCCCATTCACCCAGGCTTTCTGCAGTCAAGAGCTGGTTTGATGCTTTTTCTTCTGCCCGGAGCCACGTTCGCCAGCGCTGACGGGCTCCATCCATCCCCCAGGTCCACCTGATGAAGCCCGAGGCCGTGCCCAAGGCGTGCTGTGCCCCCACGAAGCTCAGCGCCACCTCCGTCCTCTACTATGACAGCAACAACAACGTCATCCTCAAGAAGCACCGCAACATGGTGGTGAAATCATGCGGCTGCCACTGACGGCCAGGTCCCATCCCCGTCCCCGAACGTCCCATCCCATCCCATCCCCACCAGAGCAACGTGACACTGGGTCCCTGCTGCGTGTGTGGAAGAGGAGTTTCATGGGCTCCATCATAGCAAAGTCCATTAATAATAATAAGTAACAAAAATAAATCCTTCCCACCCCTTCCTAGAAGTGGATGTAAATAGTATAAAACTTTTATTCTCTTACTACACTTAATGAGACACATACATATATATACATATATATATATAGGAAAGAGAGGATTTGTGGCTGGTTACGTGTCCGTTTGGTTCGTGGCTGATGTGTTTTCCCCTCGCGCTGCTGGCTCACAGGCTGCTGCAGTCTCTGGTGTTCACAGAGGCAGTTTGGGCTGAAGGGTAATTAGGACAAGGGAGGAGGCATCCGAGTTGCTCTGGGATGGAGCTGTTTCCAGCCATGTATGTCTAACTCACTCACCTCTAACCAACGCTTTTAATTCCCTTAATGAAAACACTGTCAGCCCATTAAGTAGCTGGCTGACTAACCCGCTCCTGTTTACTTAAAGTTCACAAAACTCAGCCAGTTGAAAAAAAAAAAGTAAAAATCCATGTTGACCTACGACACTGTTATAAAATAAATGCCTAGTTTGGAAAGTAAACACGTAGTTTCTCTTGCTGTTTGTTTTTTAATAAATGTCACAGCACAGAAGCGCTCTGTTCAGCGGACAGGATTTCGCAACAAAAAAAAAAAATACTCGGGATTGGCTAAAATTGTACCTATTTGCTTGAAAAGAAGCCTCGCTAAAGCGTTGTGATGTGAGGTTTAGGTCAGGCTGTGTCTCCCCGGCCGGGAGAGCGGCTGCGCTCGCTGGTGGATGCTTCCCGTGGGCTCATGACGGGGCTGCAGCCGCACCAGCCCCGGCCCCGGGCAGCTTCCCTGTGCTATTTGCACAATTAAGTTATTTATTTGCTCTGATTTTAAAAGTAAACGGCCTGGCCCGTTTCTCAGCTCGGGTACCCGGGGAACCTTGCGTCACTGAACAAATAACGAACCTGGCTTAGCCAAATGCAAAGAAAAAAAGTCCCAATAAACCCACCAAAATAAGAAAGATCTGCTCCCTGCCAATGCCTGGCTTCCTGAGAAAAGGTCTCGCCTCTTTGGAAAGATTTCATCTGCCGACTAATTCCACATGAAATCCAGCTCAGGATGCGATCGCGGCTCCGTGCGACGTGGTGCCTTCCGCAGACAGAGAGCCCAGGGCTTCCATCGACTCCCTCCATCGAGCAGGGGCTCTCCCTGGTTCAGGTGTGGCTGAAGATTTCTGCAAGGTCTGTCTTCAAAAATGTGAGATTTCAACAACAAAAAGAAAGGAGCAAGGAAGGGAAACGCTGGGTTGGTTTGTCTGTTTGTCAGGTATCATGTCTGAGTGCCCGTATCTCACCTTGTCCCAGTTGTAGGGCAATGCACAACCCCCAAACAGCATGGAAAACCAGCAAGCGAATAAAAGCAACGCCCCCGATCTGTGAGCGGCTGGGCTGGTGAGACCGAAAATCCCCAATTGCACAAGCTCTTAAAAACATCCCCTAAACCCCAGCCCCGCACACCTGACCCTCGCCTCTGCCCTGGCAGCCCCGTCCCGCCTGTGAACGCCTGTGCAAGCTCAAAACCACACACCCCTTCCCCTCCGCAAACACACACTCCCAGAAGTACCCAGTGCCGTAATTTCATAGGAAACCCCAAACCAATCACTTTCCAACGCTGGGGTTACCTTTATGGTGCACGGCCAGAGCTACCCGCTGACGGGAACTATAAATGCACGCGCCTTTCCCGCTCTGCAAACCAGAGTTTGGAGATTAAACCCCTTCCTACAGCCTCATCACTTTTTTTTTTTCCCTTCTTCTATCACCCAAAGAGCTTCTTCATTTCCTCATACTCCTTGTCCAGCCCTTGTTCTCCCACTTACACATCCCAGTAAAAGCCCTCCCTCTCGGACGGAGATGGAGTTGGACCAGGCTTGCTACCCAGCAGGACGGCCGCCAGCCAGGGACCTGCCTCCCTCTGCTGATGGGAAATGACACTACAGAGCCAGGGACACGCCAAAAAAAGCCTCCGCGAGATCCTGCTGCGGAAAAAGCATGAGAGATTCGGCTCTGCTCTTCTTGCCCCGGCACGGGTAGCTTCCCCTGGAGCCAGGATTTAGGCACCAGATTTGAGAAGATGAGGGCAAATGCGAAAAAAAGCATCTTTGCTCAAAAGCAAAGACCATCCTCACACGGTGAGAATTCAACAGCCAGGGTTAGGTCCTCAGTATTTTTAAAACTAGATTTTATTTTTACCTAATATAAAGTCTTTTCAGAACACAGCAGCAGAACTGGCCCTGCCCCGCTCGGGGCAGCACAGGATGGCGCAGGCTGAAAAGCGATTTATCCTCGGGTGGGTCAGACCCCCCGCAGCGCTGTCCGCAGGCACGTTCACACCAAGCTTTACAGGGGAATTTCAACAGAAGCCGTGGGAGCTGGGCACCGCTGGGGGGTCGCAGGGCTGTCCCACCCCAGCCAGCTCGCCGGCCCCTCCTGGCCAGGCTCACCCCATCCAGCCCCCTCCAAGAGCCGAGCTCACGGGCACTCCCCGCAGTCCGAGATAATCACTTTCTGCTTCGGTTTCCCGTCTTTGGTGCCCTGAGCCTTTGAGAAAAGAGCAGCAGGAATTAAAAGGCACAAAGTCCAAGGGCAGGAAGGAGGTCGGCTCTACCCCGACCACCCTGCCGCCGGCACCTACCTCGATCTGCCGCACCACGTCCATGCCCTCCGTCACCTCCCCGAACACCACGTGCTTCCCGTCCAGCCAGTCCGTTTTATCACAAGTGATGAAGAACTGGGAGCCGTTGGTATTTGGGCCAGAGTTTGCCATCGATAACAGCCCTGTGATCAAAAAGTGCAGTGTTATGGCTGGGGAAGGAGCGAGGAGCTCCAGCATGTGAGCCGCTACTTCAACCCAAACCCGTTCCCATGCCTTGCATAAAGCTGCTGGTTTTAGGAGAGCCTCTGAATATTAAACTCCACAGAAACTATTTGAAACCAATTACGTCGAGAGAGAAATACTTGCAAGCATGAAAGATGGAAAGTGGTGGAGATTGCTCATCTATTTTTAGTTGCAACAACAGAAAAGCTGTTTGTATGGAGATAAACCTGCTTGCTTTTTGCTGCTTTTCACAGTCACACTGTGACATTCCTCCTTTAAAATCAAACAGGAAAGCAGCTTTGAAACTCTTTCTCCATTACGTAACGCTGGAAATTAACAGTGCGTGGATGGCGAGCGAACGATGCATTTCTGCTTGCTGAATGCCAGTGATACACGACGGTCTGACCGTGGCAGAGATGCATTTCTGCTTGCTGAATGCCGGTGATACACGACGGTCTGACCGTGGCAGATTACACCGCGGCAGAAGTGTGTGGCCAACGTAGATTATAATTCAGGGCTGCTACTATCAACACGGTCTAGGTCAAAACAGCCCAAGTGTGACCCCTAGATAAAGTTGAGCCATTTTGCTCTCCAGCCGCTGCCTGGGGAGATAGCTCTACCTGGCCCCGTGTGTTTGAGAATGAAGTTTTCATCATCAAACTTCTTCCCATAGATGGATTTGCCTCCGGTGCCGTTGTGGTTGGTGAAGTCGCCAGCCTGGCACATGAACTGGGGGATGATGCGGTGGAAGCTGCTCCCTTTGAAGCCGAAGCCTTTCTCGTGGGTGCAGAGGCAGCGGAAATTCTCTGTTCGGGGGCAAGGGGGAGTGAGGTGAGAGCTGCACCGCAGCTGGAAGCCACCATACCGGGGAGGCTGACCCTCTCCTCACCTACGGTCATGGGCACCACATCTGAGCGCAGGAGGATCTGCAGCCGCCCCGCAGGTTTGTTTCCGATCTTGATGTCCATGTAAACCTGAGGGTTGACCCGGGATTTCTTGGCAGGAGGCTCACCCTGGGCAGAAAAAGAAAAAAAACAAGTTGAGATGACATTCCTCTGCTCTGCCTCCAGAGACAGCTGGCCCCACGCTCTCAGTCTTTGGGACAGCAAGGACACAGATGGCTCCGGTTGTTTTTCCTACCTCCTGCACTTCTGTTTTGGGGGCCTCTGCTCCTGCCTCCTCTGTGTTCTCCTCCAGAGTCTTCCCCGAAAACTTCTTCAGCCAGTCGTCATCCGACCAGACTGCGATGGCAAAAGGAAGGGTCAGAGCACAGGAACCGAACCAAAGGGCCACGTGTGAGCATGCACGCGGCTGCACGGGTCAGGGCGCAGCACGGCGCTGGCAGCAGGATCACACCCGAGGCGTGGGAGCACTCGGCTGGCAGCAGCCTACCCCAAAAGACACGGCGTGTGGGGAAATAAGGGACGAAGTCATCCCTTCTTCCTCCCAGAAGTGCCACACATCACCGGGCAGGGCAAGCTTACGGCCTGTTCCCTGGGACTACCCCCACACAGGGCAATTGCTCGGGATGGCCTCGGCCCCAGCTGCTTTTACAGATGTGGTCAGATGTGTGGGTAATTCTGCCTGGCACATGTGTGCGTGCTGTGCCCTCCATCAGAGGGCGTGAAGGCAACTGGAAGTGCAGCCAAGAGTATTTCCATCCAAGGAACTGGGGGATATTTTTGGTTATTAGGATGCTGCTCAGATCCCCAAGATCCCCAAGTGGGAGGCAGAGCCTCAGGGTCCAGGGAACCAGAGAGAAAGGCTGATGCACGAAGCTCTGAACATCCACGGGGACGCTCTCCCCTCCCGGGCACCAACTCACCAGGCCTGGATGATCCTTCTTTAATTCGCATTGGTTTGGCCAAGTTCACACGAATTGTCCTGCCGAAGAGCTCAGACTCATTCTGCAGAGGGAAAAAAAGCAGAACAAAGCCCACCAAAAGGTAAAAAAAAAAAATCACTGTGCCCCCCAAATCCCTGCAGAGGTCAGAGGAAAACAGAGCTTCCTTTCTCTGTGTAGCCCACACCACACAGGGCCTCGGTCCGTGCTGCTGGGAAGACGGCAAAGCCACGCGTCTCCCCAGGCGAGTGGGAAGAGGTTCCGTACCATGTTGTCAATAGCTGCCGCCGCATCCTACCAAAAAAGCAAAAGAAAATCATTATTATTGTTTCTTCTCTCTCTACCTTTAAAAGCAAGGCTGAGCCTACACGTGCCCCAGCATTTCGTTGCAAAAAAGATTGCCAAGGGACTGTTTTCCTAAACCTCATCTACCCCAGGGCTGTAAAAACTGATGGATCTTGCAAGAGCCATATCCAAACCAGCATCTGGGGTTCGTCTTCCCACAACCAATCCAGTAAACTCATTTTATGTACCGTGCTTTATCGCTTACGTAAAATATTTGGGAAGAGAGACCTCGTGTATGAAGCCCAGGACAGATTATAAGACGGCAAATATATGGCAGCCTGTGCTGCCCACGAAGCCAAGAAACCCACCCACTGCTGCTGAGCTCCAGGGCCAGCAGGAGAGCGGTTTGGGCCAGCAGTGGCCGTGCTTCAGCCCAAAAGAAAATGGGAAAAGCGGGAACTCAGAAAGGCAGAACAGCAGCTCCTGCAGCTCGAGAACAGTCCGAGGCTGTGGCTGGTAACCCCCGCCTGCTTCCATCAACTGCAACGCTACTGTCCCCAACGGGAAGAGGATCCAGCCCAAAAACACCAGGGGAGGAAGAGGAGGGCCCAAGCGGCTCAAGTCTTTGCCCCTTTCTCACCTCTGCCAGCTCAAATTCAATGAAGGCAAATCCCCGGTGCTTTTCTGGAGAGAGAGAGAGAGAAGCAAGCGGTCACGGGCAGCAAAGACACGCAGGTCCCACGGCGACCCAGCAGCGGTTGGGTCCCGTTCCCCCCCCACACCCCGGGAAAACCGCCCGGGAGAGCTCGCTCCCCCCTTAACCCGCTCCGCACCGAGGGGATGCTCCGACGGGACGCAGCGTCCCCGGGCAGGGACCGCCGGGACCAGCCCACCCCCGAGCCCCCGCTCCCCGGGCCACGCACCCGCCTCGCAGCCCC